TGGCCCTCAGCCAGCGTCAACCCACCACATAGCTAAAACTCCACGTATAGTGAGAAGCATTTATAATACACTCCGATAGGGCCAAAACCAAATTATTCTGCATTAATACTAATACATGTACAGAAGAAAGCCATTGTCTGTGGAGACCACGGCACAGGTGATACATTCACTTCAGTTGAAATGATGATCAGAACAAGATCCACAACTAACTAAGTTTAATCTTTCCTGCCCAAACTCATTATCCTTACTAATGTGGATTTACATAAGCCAATTCATACTACCTTTCTTGAATGATGCCAGCACATAATTTGTAAGATAAAATTGCTGTAATCATTTGTAAAATCTCACCATTTTTTCACAAGACCATTTATTGCACCTTCTTGGTATCAGTTCCTGGAATTATAAGCTTTTGTTGCATTTTGCAATAGAAATGGAAGAACTATGCAAGGCAAGTTTTCCAAAGAAAAAACACCTGTAAATGAGAACTTTTCAGAAGGAATTAAACTGACTAATTAAATTTGGTTTTTGAGTTTCATATCCATACCTAGAAGAGAAAAAGAATGAATAGAAATGAATAAAAGTCTTTGACAAGGGGGGGGGCGAATAAAAAAAAATATGGATTTGTAATTGTATGAATTCCCATTAATTAATCAGATGGCTTCTTTAATTGTTCTATTTGGAACAAGAAATTTTATAGCTTTTTATAAAACATCACCAAAACCCACTATTTATCAAATTCGAATCTTTGCATCTAAGTATATTAAATTTAATCTTCCCTTTTTTTTAGAGTAATTTCTTATCTAGTATGATCTTATAGTCATGACATGCTGAAACATGTTCAAAGAATTTTGTGTGAAAAGATGGTTGGGTTTCAACTACTTTGAAGTAAAAAGCATGCTTTAAGAACATAGTAAACCAGAACTGAACAGTGTTTTGAGTATTATATTGCTTATTTTAATCTTAGTCCAAACTCCAGCTATTTATTAAATAAGTGTCATAGTTTCTATCATCTCATCATTAGTCTACATTTTAAATTGTCACATGCACCGAAAATCTCAAAGCATTTGGCAGATTATTGCACAAATGGCTGATGTGTGAACAGATTCTGGAAAGTCTCATTACCCCATTCAATAGACTATCCTTGCAAACCACTTCAATGGCTTTTGATCTGCCAGCAGCTGATCTTTAATATCTCCCTGGTTTGAATAAGCAGTATTTCCTCCCCTCTTCCTTTTTTCCTTACTGTGCATGCTGAGAGCAGACCTATTTCAGTTCTCTGCTCCCTAAGTGTTGTTGAGACCTCACTGCAACAACACCCTAAAACTGAATCTGCTGTGCTAACACTGGGAAGTTCCCCAAATTCTGCAGCCCCTGTTATCTTTTACCCTCATTGCTCAGCTGTGGCCTTTGCCAAAGCCTGTTTTCCATCCTTTCCACTGTGCCCACATTTGCTTCTACCACTAACAGGAAGGAGGTTTGAGGTTTCTATTTTCCAGTTCTCTTGGCTGTGCTGGATTCCCCGAGGATCACAGTGACGTCCGACCAAGGCAGCACAGGGCAGCATTAATCCTTCACCACTAGCCTTGCCCTAAATACACAGCTGATCCACTGGGACCAGCTCACCATATGAAATGTGAGGGCTCTCACTTCCCTGGTACTAAGCCATAGCAGCCCCACAGTGCCCCCAGAAGACGGCTTCCCACAACAGAGGTGCTCAAAATTGGTGCGCCAGTGCCTTCCAACACAAGTTGCAGAACAGATATGGTTCATAAGAGGATTTCTGCATTTCCATATCTGGGCTTCTGTAATTTCATTTCAATTTTTGTTTGATCTTACACAGGTGGCATTCAGCCTTTACCTAAAAAACCCAAGTGGTATGATTCAGCTATGCTCCAGCTTCCTTTGATGAAATGATCTGGAAGGGGGCTTAACAACATTGTCCTTCCTCTTATTCTCTCCAAAAGATGACTACAATCAAGCCTCAGATATTAAGATTAGTGTTTGAATGAATAAGCTATTTAGTGCCTTTACCTCAATGTTTCATTAGTTTAAAGATTAGCTTTAAATATTTGTACTGGCTTACAACTTCTTTGGAAGTTCCACTATTCTTACTACATGCACAAAAAACCTCATAAAATTGAATCATACTTGTTCCTGGGATGTGTGGGGATTCACATGATACAAGCATCAACCTGTGAAAGCAGAAGGTTCGTTTTACCAGAAAGAAACATGGAAGTAAATGAAAAAAAAGAATAAAAAAAAAATAGTTAAAGTAGAATTTCTGAAGTGGAAGAGAGTCAGAACACTGACCAATAATAAGCACTTTTAGCACTTTTTCCTTTGCAAAGCTAGTGAGGTAAGACCCAAGTTAGGTGATGCAGACCCAAACAAATCCTCATACCTTCAGTCCATTTACATTATCTCTACTGCTACAGTCTTATCTATGGTTCTCTGCCAGGTTTTGTTTTCAGAACTGTGACCAGACAGAACCGTCTCCATGGGCACACACTCCACGGGCAGCTCTAGAAGCACCAAGGGCTTAGGCATGGCATGGAATATTATCTCAAACCACTCTCTAGCTTAGGCTCATGTGTTCTCATTAACATATGAGTGGAATGATCTAAAACCTTTGTTCATTAGTAGTATTTACATAAAATGAGTACAAGCCCCCAGCTGTAAATAAATGATAAAATACATATTAGTTTTAATTATCTTTGAACATTAGCCCTTCTACTTAAAAATCAGTCTCTCAGAATTAATGTTACAATAAAGAGTATTCTGGTTTTGTTTTTTTTCTTCTTGTTTGGCTAAACTTACTGATGGCTTAGATTTTGTCTTCTTCTCTTTTCCTTTGTCCCCTTTTCTGTTGCTGGTAAAGTAATGCAAGGTACCATATTCCATCAAGGCAGCAAACACAAAAATGAAGCAAACTGACACAAAAAGGTCCATTGCTGTCACATAGGAAACCTTTGGGAGTGATTTCCTAGCAATTGTACTCAACGTTGTCATGGTCAACACCGTTGTAATACCTGTTTGAGAAAGAAAAAAAAGACAGGAAGAGGGGAATGTATAAGTAATCCAATCATATGGATTTAGTGGTGGGACTTGGCAGTGCTAGGTTAACGGTTGGCCTTGATGATCTTAAAGGTCTTTTCCAACCAAAATGATTCTATGATTCTATATTGTCACAAAAAAAATTTCCTCAAATTAGCCCTTAATTCATTCATGAGGCATACAAGAACTGAGCCACAGCAAGGTTCTTCGCTGATCACACCCACACACATCGGTGCTATTGCAAGAAGCCATCCCTATGGATCCAGCGGCCACCGTGGCATCATACAGAAGGCAGCACGTTTCACCTTCAGTTTAAATCCCTCCCATTTTCAACATATACTGAATAAACAATGACACTGAGAAAGTTTGCATAATTTTATAAATCTGTTATAGAATGCACACATAAAACAAATGCAATAGACAAACAGGCACAAATAAGCACACAAATTTTATAAACACACAAAAGTGTCCTTTGTCTCTTGAAAGATTAAAATGCACAAAAGGATGCATTCAGGGGGAAAAAAAAAAAAAAAAAAAAAAGATGTGTTATTCATCAATGATTTCAAACTTTCTGAAAACACAAGAAAAAGAAATAATGTTTCAATGATTTGCTTCTGACATGTAGCAGATCAAACCAGACAACCTTCATGGCCTTTCTAGTCTCATTCTCTAAGCTACTAGGTATTTTTTTAAATACTGTGTCTTAAGTAATAGAAAATGTTTCCCTTGATTCACTTACATACAAGTTAATTAAAAGAACAAGCTGGCCTTAACAGCTATGTGTTCAGAATCATAACAATACCACTTTTCGCTGGTTTAACATTTAGAAGGTGTTAACACTTTCTTCTCATATTTGATGCTTCAGGGAGATGCAAAGCCTTTTTCATAGTAGTCCAAAATTAAGCTGTGACCTTTCCTTTGGAGAGCAATACTTGAACACACGAATAATTTGTTATTTACACACACAGGCTTATTGCAAAAAAATGTGTTACACCAGTCTAAGGCTATCTATGGCTTTTAAATCAAAGCATGGAATCAGGGGTCGCTATTAAAGGATCCTGCAGCAGGAAAGCAGTGGTGATTTTGCAAGATTTCCCAATGAAATTACATACCGAAAAAGGGCAAACAGATAACCACAGAGTTTTTCAAATGTGCTTCGCTCCTACTAGATGCTTTTGAAAATCAATTAGGCATTTCTGCATAGTTAAATATTTAAATATCTTTAATCATCTCAAACCTTTTGCTTTGGGAAACCACAATCTGCCAGGATTTTTTCACATGTACGGAAGAAAAAGGCCCAAATCGTTTCAGTGTACCAGACCCCAGCACAGACTCCAGGCAGGAATTCACACCCACCATTCCCCTTACTGACTTCTGTTCAGAGAGGACGGAAGGAGACGTGGACTTTCCCAGTCCTCTCCACTATCCAAAAGGCACGCAAGGGGCTGTCACAGGGAACAAACCTTCCACTGCATCACAACTGCTTGCCACGATGGACCTTGCTTAGTTTTGGCTTTCTTGTCTTAATTTCTGAGCCTTTTTCTATAAAATTGTGTCTGTTTGACTGGTATTCTCTTTCTTCTTCACCAGAACATCTGCATGTGAGAAATGTCATCCTACAATCTGTCAAACAATGGCTTCTGCATGTGCACACAAAAGGAGCCCAGAGTCAACTGCAGGGAACTGTAAATATGATACTGCAAACTTTTGCAGTACATCTCAAGTAGATGAAGGTTAGTACTGCTGAAGTGGGAGCGTGAAAACACTAGCTTAACCATGAGATCAAAGGCAAATTTGCTAGGTTCGCGGCATAGAAAAAGTACTCTGTAAAACGAACAAAGTGGATACAGAACTAGCAGGATACCAATACAACAGTTTTTCCTGTCATAGCTAGTGTCTTTCCGACAGTACCCACAATGATGTCCAATTATTAGTCAAAGAAATCTTATAATAAATTTCCAAATCAAGAGTTGAAACTATCAACAGTTTCACTTATTTATTCAAGATCTTAGGCTCTCTTCACCAACTTTGCAGTACTTTTAAATAGCATAAAGTTAAGATCCGACACTTGGATTTTCATTATGCTACTGAGCCATGCTCATTTTTGCTTACTTTCTTTCTTGACTCATTAATCTTGCAGGCTTGACTGCACAGTGGTCCAGTTTCAGTGGGAAAGGCAGGGAGTTAAAGCCTGGACTCACCCTTCTGGTAAGTAACACTCCTATAATGTGGGAATGGTGTGTTTACGATCCTATAAGCTGATGAGGAAAATTAACTCACATCTCTCACTTCCTCAGATACACTCTCAGCTCTTGATCTTTCCCCCAAAATAGGTCATACCGCCGTCACCAGTTTTACTAAAAGTGTCTGTCACTGCTAAGCTCAAATTTGCTAGTCTGCATCCTGTGCACTCCACACTCCCCAGTCTATCATGCTTTATGTGAGGACTACAACTCTTCTCCAAGGAAGCACATGAATCCTAAACAGTCAAGCACAGGAGACTGACACCATGCTAGACAGGTCAGCCAAGATGGCACTAACACAGAAGTATCTCTGGAGCAGAACTTGCAACACACTTTGGTACTGTCCGTAGTAAAAGCAGGACAGTGAGTCAGTTTTTGTGCTTAACTGCTTGAAGTGCAACTTTGGTTGCAAACTTTCTGTCTTATCCTGGGCTTAAAAGAACAACTGAATCATTTCTATTATTAAAAAAATCACCAACACCACCAATACAAAACCCAAAAACCATATCTTCACAGTTTCCGCCTGTGTAGTAATGACATCCTTTGTTCCATGGTGCTAAGTGAAGTTTAATCATACTTGTCAGACTAATGATTGCCATATTGACGTCCCTGGAGATGACAAAAAGAACATAAAGGAGAAAAAATGTACTTCTGTGAACAACAGCAGATCCATGAGACTTGGATGGGGATTTCCCGATTTCCATTCTCAACACTCCCTCCTTAAGCCCAGCAGGATCCTCCTACTCTTAATCTTGCAGTTCAAGGGAAAGGGTGACCAATGGTCACAATCTGAAGGGGAATAAACTGTGGTTAATTTACTCCCTGCTGCAGATTTGTATTCCTGGGGAGTACCAGACCCTTCAAGGTTGAAAAAAAAATTCTTACCCAGAGAAGTCCTTGCAGGAACTGCATCCTTATTGATCCAAAATGACACCCATGAAAGAACAACTGTGAGTATACACGGAATATATGTCTGAATAGTAAAATATCCCATACGTCTGCTGAGATCAAAGAAGATTGTCATAATAATATAATCACCTATAAATTAAAAAAAGAAAAAATACTTACATGACACTGAAAATGGTTTTCAGTTGTATCTTCATCTATTAGTCTTGTTCTATGTAGATATTACATGAAATTAAACTTAACACTTTGCCTTACCAGACAAGGTATGAGAAATTTCAGTTGTATTTCGTAACCCTACAAACGCAAACTGATACAATCTCCAGTATTTTGGATCTGCCACTTCAACAGAGGTTTTCTTCCATTTGTATTCAATTTCATTTCTGGGATAACCATCTAGAATAAAACAGAGCAAATCAAGCATTCAACCACAGTATATACCAAAGCATGTTTTATGATCTCTGAAGTTGTTTAGAAACTAAACCAGGGCTATACATAAAGTGGATCAGAGAGAAAGCCTATCTATAGTCCACATGATACACTCTAAATTTAACCACAACATATCTAGCCTCAGTTTTAAGCCTAGCTAAATGTATGATCAATCAAAAAACTATGTAAATACAAATGTTTAGGAAATACCTACACAATATTCTGGAACTCAGATATGAAAAACTAGCACGCAATGATCACTATGACTTATACACAGATGTAATATACATTACGAAAGGACACTTATTAGTACAACATTTTATAAAATTCCTATTGATGTTTATTGAAAATTTCTTTGTCTATTATTCCCAGAATGGATTTTTGTGGCCTGATTCACTGTCTAGTACTTCAACTTTAAGGAAGTGCAACCTTCTTGATATTCACATACCTCACATGTTGCCCCAAATTATCTTGCAGAAAGGCAGAAATGAAATTAAGCAAGACTCTGCTTTTAGCTGGAAGCACTCAAGAAGGAAGTATTAAATGAAAAAATTAATTTAAAAAGAATCACTGAAGTTTGATTTCATTGCCTATTAAGTTTCACATTTAGGAATAAGTCGTTTAGATGTGTTCAGGTGGTTTGGGTTTCTTTTGCCTATAATAGCACAATTCCCTTAGGAACTTTTTTTTTAATAGTTTATATTAAAGAAATGAAAATTGAAAGTTGTGTTTCTTGCTCACATAAATAAGTTACACTGAAAGGAGAAGGACTTCTTACACTGATTAAGCATTTACAGGAACAGGTTGAAGAAGACAGATCTTATTATTCCTTTTAAGCGTACCACATGGAACTAATTCAAGGCTGGCAAGGCTGGCAGGCATAAAAATAAAGTTCTTCCAGGGCAATAGATTTCCATTAACTGGAACAAACATTGTATCAATCAGACTCCTAAGCAATAAGATTATTTTTAAAGTTGCACCTAAATGAAATGCATGTAATTCAACTCATTCATTACTGCATTTAATAATGCATTAAGTAATGCAATAAATCTAATCAAAACATAAACAGGTCAGTTCTTTCCTTCACTACAAGGCTTTAAAAAGTAAACACTTGCCCTTTTTCTGCCAGAATTTAAGGAAATTTAAAGCCTGAATGTAAAGAGAAAATGAAAAAAAAAAAGGTTTTTACCACCTACAGCTTGAAAACTCCAGTGGACAGGAGTGTTCATCCATAGGAAAGTTATGAAGCTGAAGATAACATTCAGCATTAATTGTCAGCCTAATTAGAAAAGGAAGAAGAAAAAAAAAAAAAAGAAAAAAGATTATATTCAAGCATCCAGACACTTCAGACTAGATAGTAAAGAACATGCACAGAAAGCAATTTTGCCAACCATGGATGTTACTCACAGCCAACTCTATTTGCAAAAACCATCAAGCATCACCACCAAAGAACAAAACCTCATCATTTAATGCTTATAAATATCCAAAGGACAGGTGTCTAGAGGATGGGGCCAGACTCTTCAGTGGTGCCCAGCAACAGGACAAGGAGCAACAGGCACAAACTGGAACACAGGAAGTTCCGTCACAATATGAGGAAAAACTTCACTGTGAGGGTGACCGAGCCCTGGAAGAGGCTGCCCAGAGAGGTTGTGGAGTCTCCTTCTCTGGAGATATTCAAAACCCACCGGGACGCGATCCCGTGCAACCTGCTCTAGGTGATCCTGCTTTAGCAGCGGGTTGGACTAGATAATCTCCAGATGTCCCTTCCAACCCCTACCGTTCTGCCATTCTGTGATTATATGCAACCTGAGGACCTATGTTGTTTCAACTGGCATTTCAAGCCATTTCAAAAATTTCCATTGATTTGGGGGCATCTCTCAGCTCTCTACAAGAAATAGGGGATAAAAGGGAGGGACTGAAGGCAGGGCAAGGAGGGGAGTTTATGATAGCAAACAAGGGAGTTTCTGAAGAACACATTTGTCAAGTTAAACTGCATTTGGCATCATTGTATCTGGTGGTTATATACACGAGAGAAAGTGGGGACACTCTTGGGCTTGCTCTATACTCATGGAAGCAGCTCTGGTGAAGTAGTGTGGATGAGAAAGAGCGGACTTGATATTTCAACTCATTTAAATGGCTAACACATTCAAGTAATTACACAACTACTATACATTTTAGAAATAGTTTAGGACTTGTAATAGTATCAACTGAATCACTTACTGCTTTTGAAAATACTATCACAGATTTCCAAAGAGCTTCCAAGCAACCCAGTTCTGCTAACTTTCACTAAGAAGCTAACGTAAGGGGTTAGACTCCAAACTGCCTTCTTTGCATTTAAAATACCTCCTCCTTTGTTGGTAACACTGTGAAGAAAGTCAGAACGTCTTCTAAAATCAACTTTGAAAATTAACATAATGTTTACACACTTGACAGTATGCAATACTTATAAACTAGGCAAAAAGGGATGGGGAAAGCAAGATTCTGCCACACGCTGCCAGAAAGCTCTATGGGTCTGTGAACAAAGTAGTTATTCTACACAAAGTGTCACTAGGACCTTTCTAGAAATTTGTCCTGACCAAGACAGAGGTTTATAAGGGAAAGTGTATTTCTTGCCATATACTGGGGGGGGGGGGGGGGAAGGAACAGACCACCTCCATACACATTTCCAAGTAAAACACTTGCATCCCTTTGAAGATGCTTTTCAAATTTTCCAACTATGGTATATGCATTTATTGCCTTTGTTTTCCATTTTCAAACTTTGGATAGTCAAACACTCAAAGAAAAAGAAAACAAAACCAGACTTTTATTGAAAGCAACACAACTAGATCTGGAGTCACTGATAGGTGCAATGGACAGACCAAGGACTACGCTCAGAGAAGACTCAGCAAGCCTGACACAGTCACCATATCTACTGCCTGAATTACCAACGGGGGAAGAGTGGTGGTACAGGGGAGCCCACGACCTGGAGCACTGTCAGATCCTATTATTGTTCCTTCAATAACCAACATATGAACTTCTCAATGTTATTCCACCTTAAGCCAAATTCAGGCCATATCCTCATCTATACAGTTGTTTGCATGTTGCAGTGCTGGGTGAATACCTCTTCTGCTGTTTTATTACTAGCTTGCTGCACTTCATAGCTCATAGTCTAGCACAGCAATTCTAACCCATTGCTCTGGGAGAGCTCTTGTGGGTTTTTTGGTAGCGTTCGTTTGTTTCTTTGTGTTACTTAGAACCAGTCTGAAAGAAATTGTACATTGAAACTGAATGAACAATGGAAGGGTAAAGTCCAAGTATGACTCCAGAATTGTTAGCTACAAGAAGAAAAAAAAAATAAATTAGCATGTCAACAGAAGAGGCGCTCTAGAGATTTTTATAAACATCAGCATAATAAACTGTTTAAAAAGTGCTCTTCAGAGATATTTGTATGCTCTCAAATGAAGCATACTAAGAAAATATTCAGTGAAAAGAATCCTTTTAAAACATTCTAATTCTTCTTACTTCTGACACAGAAGACTTTTATAAATTGTTCATAAATGTGAAAACAACATTAATGACTGAAAAGAAATTAAAAGGTGCTACTTTTTGTTTAAAATAAGTAGTAAATAAACTCTTAAGAGTAGCACCAGAATTATGGCATTCTCTGCATGGACTGCTTCTTGATCAGCTCTTAATTTATTGCAAGATTTTTTTAGGCATACTTAAAAAGTAAAACACACTAAAACACTTCCTATTGACTACAGCTTTTCAAGAGCTGTTTGAAAAGTGACTCAAAGATCAGTACAGATAGCCTAGATGGTAAGCTTAAAACCAGCCCAAGCATCTCCCATTTGTCAAGAAGAATTATGACCAACATGTTTGTTTATGCCTAAGCTGGGTGAACAGAATTGTTGATTTTAATAGCTTGCAAAAGTAAACATGTTAAGAAGTATATGCAGGACTGGGGCTTTAGCTTTAATCAAACTTCTTATGATTTTCACTATCTGGAGCTTTTTATATTTTACTTACAGAATATAATTTTGTGGAAATTAAATACTGAACTATTTAGAACAGAAAGTCTGCAAAACAATTTATGACTAGATCTGAAATATGTTAGTGATAGATCGCCATGGTGCTACATGCTAACATCTGTTATTTAATCTTGCCTGTACTTAAATGAGATTAAAGTTTGCTATCTCCTTCAACTGTCTTCACCCAATTATCTAGGCAATATATTTCAATACTATTAGTTTCATGTTTTTCATGATCAAATAATTTTTTTTTTTTCTCCTTTAGTAAACTCCGTGCAAATTCCTGGGTCCACAGCAAAAGAGATGCCAATGGTTTGATTCATATTCATTATTTTCATACTCCTGGTCATAACAGTTTGGTTTTTTTCTACCTAGTTAATAAAAACCCACCTTAGAGTGTACAATACTCTTCCATCACTCCAGATTCGAAGCAAACGATTTGGAGTTGTAATCCAGTGAGCATCAGATTTCCTTGAGTTCCGGAAGAAAGTGTCTGGAATCCAAATTTTTCCAACCATATTGCTATTAAGCATAAGCACCTTCATCGAGCTGTTAAATTTTAGACGACTGTCATACCAAGTCTGGGCAAAAATTATATCTATAGTGTATTCCTAAAAACAGAGAAACAACCATATCTATGTATATATTTACCAAAGTCTGCAAGCCAACAAGTTTTAATTCATATATAAATCCGAGGCCACTTCTTCTATTTTCTTTTGTATTACCATTTGCATAGCACACAGCAGGCTGTAACCTCAAACTGAGAAATTACAGGCTGACGAAAGACATACACACCCTTCTGTCCCTACCTCCTCGCCTCTGACACACATTGATTAGTTAAGGAAGAGGAGATGTGATGGGAGCTTGCTGTAACTTGGAGGTCCCCACACAGTGCAACCACCTCTGGGGACCCTAGACAGAAATTTAAAGGCAACCTTAATACTTCAGTGCTAGAGTATGTTTTTTAAGATAGAGATTCTACATCTCTTAAGAAGCAAACAAAATAAACTTTCTATATTTTTCCCCCAAACATTACAACATGCAATTTAAGATCCTTTAAGAAATTTCAGATTTTGAAAAATTCATGAATATGCGGGAAGTAAATATCACAGTTTGCAAAACTATGTGTTACCATCTGCCTCATTTATCTACCTACATACACACAAAAACATACATAATCACAATCAGGATGGAAATTTCTCTAAAGCAATTCCACTTTACTTACTAAAGCCTCAAGAAAGCTCCCTTTGTGATAGAAAGTCAAATTCCTCATTAGACTTATGGACAGAAAAGAAAGGTGAAAAATCAATCAAATAAATATATAAATAAATAAGTAAAATAAATAGATAGATAGATAAACAGAAAACCCACAGCCTTTCAATGAGACAATTCTTGACACAGTAAAACTTGAGGGAGGTAAACATTACAGACGAAATGAAATCTTGTTTTTCAAAGAACCCAGCCAGTTGATCCTGCTCTCCAGACAAAGGAGCAAAGCAGCCTCTTCTCTGTTGTATTTGTCACAGCTCCAGTCCACAACTCTGACCTTAAGGGCAACAGTCTCTCTACTTGATGGGAGATGTGATCTTTCTTGCACAGCTGCCCCATGAGGGCAGGTCCTCTGCAGGGAAAATGAGCTGGAGACCAGACTTAGACACCTGGTGATGGTTGCTCACCTCTCAGTTACGGGATGAGTGGGCAGGGGGAAGAGAGGAGGAGACAGTGGTTCAAACTCTTGCATGAGCCAAAGGGGTCTTTACTAGTTTACTTGGTTAACAAAAACGCACAGTGCAGACAGTCAATTGTAGGTTTAGATAAAATAAAAGTGGAAGGCTTTGCTAGTTGGAGTGGGGTTTTTTGTTCATTTTACTTTAAAATTATCACAGCAGCCAACTGCATGAGTTACAGACTCCTCACTCTTTTCTCCCAGGAAAGTTTGTGAAATCTGGCACTTCATCCTTCAGAAGTGCCAAGGCAGATATTCCAGGACTACTTAAATCTCGCTCAATTTTCCCACTTCTCCAGGTGGGAGAAGAACAGGTTCAGGAAATAGATATGCAAGAGGGAGGCTTGCCCTTGCTCTGTGATGTATAGCAGATGAATTACCACCTGGATGGTGGTAATTCAGTGACTCTCAAAGGTTATGAATAACTAGTGTATGAGGCAAACAGTGGAGGGACAGAGGGAACAAAAGGTCTAATCAAAAATACATTTTAGAGATGACGTCACTCTAAAGCTCTGCTTATCCCTTGAGAGGCACTGCCATCAGGGGAAGATTCTGCAGGTTAAAACAAGTCCTTGATTATTTTATTTCTGTAAACAACGTTCAAGACACCTGTGAAAACCCAGGGCTTGTTTAACCTTAAAATTCAGCTTTCTGCGCTCATCTATAACGGTTACAACTGGAAAAGAACCTTGCCTTGCTGTAGTGTAAATGAGACCCCGAGGCACTGCACTGGAGAAGCGTTCTAATGGGCTTAAATGGAACAGAATGAACAAAGATTTACGTGTTGCATTTACAGTACAAATAGAAGGAAAAAAGAATTCAGTGAGTGAAATCAACAGACACGTACATGAAAAGAGCAGACTGTCCGAGTTTGAAGGTGCTACTGCAAGCAGCCACTTCACAGTGGCACTGCATTGTCTGAGAAAAAGAAATTTATCAAAGTGTCATTACAGTCAAATCCACCCACAGCAAGAGAACTCAGGTTGTCATAGAATACCAACCACCCTAACAAATTAAGATAAAAAAGGAAGATGAGCTCACACATTGTTTTGAACACACAAAGCATAGGAACAAGACCCAGATGCTTGTATTCTCTTACCTTTCAGTATTAAATGTGCAAGTTTTTCTCATACCCATGTATCATAGGAGTTGTTTAAAGAACTTTTTGGAAAAAAAATCCCCAACCTTTGTTGCAATCCTTCATGATACATTTAGCGCTGTTCAAAAAGAATCTAATATGTAACAGTTTAATATCATAAAATTAGGAACTACTTGTTTCCAAATATCTTGCTGAATGCATAACAAGAGATCCAATTGCTAGCCTCTTGCCACATACCTGCAGAGGGTGGGCCTCCATTTGTAAGCTGACACTTCAGCATCCCAACATCTCCCTCAGAAGTTGGCCAACCAAAGGCATAATCCTACTATTCATCCCACCTGAAAGATGTGGACCTGCAGCCTGGCAGTGGGTGGCAGGAGCAGTTCAGCCCCTCTTCAGCAGGCACCCAGAGCCAGTGCTCTCTGATTTCTCCCAAGAACATTTATTCCACTTCTAACATCTGCCTTGGTGGACATCACCACCAACTTCTTCAGCATATCTATTTGTCCTATGCCTCCCTGAGACCTCTCTGTCTTTCAGGGTCCATAATACATCCTGAGGCTGCATATATTCTTCACACAAAGCATGTCACAGGAGATCATGTTTTCAACCCATTATATCTTCTATCTTTCACTCAAGTGAACTTTAGCATAATGTCCAAGCATATAAATGTACTTACATTGTAAAGGTGCAAGGCATGTGAAAATGGGACTCAAATGGATATTAGCTTCCTTTTTGAACACAACTTTCCCCGCAGAAGAGGTCAGATGGCATAGCTCCAAATATATCCCAAGCAGTCAGCAAGCACAGGCAAACATACAGGATGATCAGACAACTACGAGTCCGGCAGCATGCAGCTATGACAGTATAGACACTTGAGAGCAATAATCTGAAAGGAAAACTATGCTAGGGGAATTATCAAGAAAGCTGGATTCTTTCTGAAAAATCTCATTTTGAAATGGGCCTGAAATTTTCTGATTTTATGGATTCGTACACTGAATTCCCTTAAATTTGCATCTCCTGAAAAATATTTCATATTTCCTTTTAAGAAGGGAAAATCTGGGTCCCTAAACTTTGTTGAAAATGAGGTGGAAAAATCACTATACTGTCTTTTCTGGGAGTACTTCATTTCCAAAAGTAGATGAATAAAAGCTCTATCTTTGTTTAGACACGGTATGAGCAAGCAGATTTATACAATATCCTTTTAGTGAAACAAATCTTTCTGAGCACCTATTTTGTTTTCCTTGTTTTCTTACAAAAAGTTAAAATTAACACTCATCACTACTTCTATTAGTCTTTCATAAAACTCATCATTCAATGCCACCGTGTAACCATAAAAATTGGTTTACTACTCTCTCTTTCAAATGAAACTAATGATAAAATAGCCATGCAGAATAAAATGGAATCAATCTATGGCTGTGTTAGTCACAGCCATAGCAAAATGCATGCTTATTCATATTCAGCCTCACAGGGTTCAATAACCATGGCACACATTAGCTCACATTTGGCATTTGATTAGATCACTGAACTCTTTTTTGCACAGCTGGCATAAAGAGCCCACCTGCCTAATTATTTACAGATAACTGCAATCCTCCTCCATCTCTTTCCTCTCTAAAAGATCATAACAAACTCCAAAGGCTGGGAACACAGTGACTAATCAGAGATTACCATTAAAGGGCCAGGCAGTGAACAAACTGTGAATATTGACAAGCAGGTATATACTCTGAGAGAAAAATCATTTAATAAATAAAAGCAATTACTTCAAATAAAGTAGGAACAGCTACCATATGGGAATAAATGGAATCCTCAACATCAGTTTCATCTTCATGCACAGTTCAATTACAGTCAGACATGAAAATGGACCAGTGGATTGTTTGGGTTTTTTGTTGGAAAGCTGTGAAAGAAAGGGAGGCAGATACCATCCTGCACGATTGTTTCTCAGTGTAAACTGCATCACATGAATTCCAACGCAGTATCAGCAAGGATGGAAAAAAATCTCTCAAAGCTGAAAAAGCATTTTTCTTGGATATTTTGTCTAGCAGTCTCACAACTGATTTGATATTCCACACTAAGAAGTGTGGAGAAGTCAAGCTATGAGCAGCTAAATTGTTGGCTGGTTTATGTTAACTGCAACACATTTTGCTAGAGAACAGGCAAAAAGTGGGCTAGTTTTCTGGGGCCAAACAGAAAAGCAATGAAAAGTCCCAAAATCAAACTCAGAACTGAAAAATTGTGTTAGCAAACTACAGGCCTGCAATATAGTTCATTACAAGTGAGTTTCAGAGAAAAATGAATAAAAACGTACTCCTGTCATTTCATCTTTGCTCAGAAACCCACCACAGCTTTTCTCCCAGGTTCAAATTTTCACTTGAAGGGCACCTGGAGTTTTCTAGAGTACAACCAGCTAATTCAGAAATCTCTTTCATAGGGAGCCCCCAAACTCAATTCAAGTACCAAGTCTGACATGACTTGAATCTTCTTCAGTGTCCTGGGTTTCGCCTGTGCTAGTGTTAATTTTCACAAGAGCTTGGGAGGAGACACACCCACGACAGGTGACCCAAATTAGCCAAAGGGTTATTCCATACAATATGACATCATGCTCAGCGTATGAAGGGGGCTGGCTGGAGAGGAAGAGTCGCTGCTCAGGGATGGGCTGGGTGTCTGAGCAAATTGCCTTATCACCTGCTTTGTACATTCTAAGTATTGTTACTGTTATTTCCCTCTCCCTTTGCTGTCCCAGTAAACTGTCCTTATCTCAACCCATGAGTTTTGCCTTTTTCTTCCCATTCTCCTCCCCATCCCACCGGGGCAGGGGGAGGAGTGAGCGAGTGGCTGCCTGGTGCTGAGCTCCTGGCTGGGGCTAAACCACGACTTTCAATTACCTGAGCTTCAAGATATTTTCTTCATGTTTCTTCATTCTATTCAGCTTTCTAATTCCTGAAACTGGAGCCCAATGTGAGGGAAGCAGGGAATTTTTCAGAAAAAAAATGAAGAAGGGAAAACTAAAAAAAGCTTTCTACCAACCTATATGTTTCAACATTAAGAAATGTGATGCAGTATCAAAGACTCAGTTTAGTATGCTGATTAAGAGGTTTAAACAACAAAGGCATAGACAAAATGGTAACCACGTGCTTTCCTAAGAGGTAAGCATCAAATAAAGCATCAAGCATTAGCCAATTCATCTTCATCTTGCCAGTGTGCTGCCAATAAACTCTCATAACCTTTACCTCTTCCCTCATCCAAATATCTCTGGACATCAATAAGGGGCTATTAAGTAATTTACTAAAATACTTAACCTATCTTTGATGTATAACTGCTTTTAACAAAATGTCTAAAAAGTGGTAGTTCTCCCTGGTGTGTTACTTTAAAAGCCCTTTAAAAAGATTTTTGAGCTGCTTCAGGGCCAGCAATGGTTTCAGAGCTTGATCCCCATGGCTGAGACTGAAGCAAAAGTAATATTTCTTGTTTAGGTAAACCATTCTTGTTTGCTCATTAGAGCAATCTAAACCCAGTGACCTTAGGGTGAGATCTAAAAGATCCAACAAATCCCAATGATGCTGACATGTACCTGTAATATTACATTAATGATACTGCAGCTGTGGAAGACGTAGGGGCTGCAGGAAATACACGGAACAGAAGTGCACAGCATCTGCTCCCAGAACCTTTTAACCAGTCAGATTGTTATAATTGTACAGATAATCACACTGGAGGATGCTACGAGAACATATGCACAGGGTAAGTAGAAATATGGCAAACCATATCTACAGAAGGTGAGAGAGTACAGCAAGACCTACATAGTCACAATACAGAAAAAATCTATCATTCTTCACATCATAATTTGGCATCTGTGCTTATCCATTCCTTATTTTGAACATGCAAAGTGACAGATGCAAACAACAATACGAATAAAAGGCAAGATTTATTTCACTGCTTTGTAGATTAGAAACTATAATTAAAATCTTGCCAACAGTCAAAAGATTAGCTAGAGAAGTGACTAAAGCACTTCAGCAAAATCTCTGCTTTTATTTGATCAGCTTAGATTTTGGCCATTTGAAGAGAGCATAAGGAGAGGAAATAGATGATACGTTATAATCTATATACATTCCCTCACTGAAAATTATACAAAAAGTTTTGGTTTGCTTTTCAATTGAAACTTGAAATATTTCAGCCAAGGCCGCTCATAAACAAACATTAAACTACAGAACCAGAGAGGACAACTCAGAACAAAACAAAACAACAAAAAAAATCAGACATAAATACAAACATATATATTAAAAGCCCAGGAGTGAATACTGGTATGGATTAAGGGTTTGGCCGCGAGATTATCAATAGTGATTTTTCAGCTCCATTAACTATACTTTCTAAATTCAGCAGCTACATCTACCTTCCTGTAACTTGTGACACTCAAGTAGTCAAAATTGGTCCCACAAACAACTCTGGTAACAAAGCTGCACATTACTCAAGCATACACGGTTTTCTACAGTTTCCTTTTATAAATAAGCTATCAAGTCTCAAACACAATTCCCCATTCAGTATGGCGCAACCGTTTTTAAAGCAAGATTAATTGCCCGGTTACTGTCCGGTCTTTTATTTCCATGGGTTTCCTGCCACGCTTCAAAATCCCAACATTGATGGCAAGGAGATGTATCTGGGTTTGATTTCTTCCCTGCCACTCTGGTAAGATACATGATCCTACGTGAAATACAGCACTCCTATCAGTTTAACTTTCTGGCAGTCATGCAACTCCAAATATCAATCATCTGCTACACTGAAGATAGAAGAGCATGGACAACTGTTAAGAGCTTCCTGAAAAAGCCTCTATTTACTTACTGACCTCAAGGGCATAACGCTTTGTGGGGATAACCCTCTATAATAGAGACACTACTGTTATTCAAAAAAGTGGAATCTCATGCAGCACTTACTGTATGCCAATGAACAACAAACTCCAAAATCATCCAACAAAAGGTGGTTTAGATGGGCGTTCTCCATGGTGGTCGAAATAACCATCCAGAATGTATAAGACTTGATGAAATTTAAAATCAAACAAAACCAGAATAAAAATAATGAAGGCCAAGATCAACAGGCAGGGAAATTACATTCACTTAACTAGCAAAAGCACATTGCATTTCTTTATAGCTGTTTTGACGGTGCTGTCACCCCTACCAACAAGAGAGTAGGGCAACGCTCTTTCCAAGAGTGGATCTTCTTCCGTGGTAAACAGCTTGGAGGTGCTGCTGCAGGAAAGGGCATCCAGACCA